ACCGCTGCCACTGCCGCTGTCTCCTGCGCTCCTGTCTGACGTATCTTACCTTAGGCGGTGCGATCTCTAATACTGATTGATCATTGGAGTTTTCGGCTGCGTCGACTGCTGAGGTCGTTTTGTACCTAGTGCGATCTTTAATACGCAGTATTACCCGATCAGCTTCGGTTTGGATGGGATTGGAGCCATTTTGTCCTGCAATGACCATTACAGGTCCATCGGACTAGGGAGAGTGGAGAGAGGTGGGACAAGGTTACACACATCTGGAGGACCTCCGTAACCGAGCTTTGCCCCAGGCACGCACCCCTCTGCGGCGCTTGCGTGGGTGGCCGGCGGGGCTCCTGTCAGGCGGACACTGATACCCGCAGGGACATTGATACCCGCTCATGGCGGACGTGTGCGCCTCGCCCGCAGAGCCCCCTCTGACCAGGGCCACAGCGAAGACGGACTTTGCTGCTGGACATAGCGCTGAATGCTGCCGAGTCCGCTGAAGGAAGGCATCTCGCTACCGCACTCATAGCTAGCGCATGCAATCATGGAACGTACCTAACGCGCAAAGCACTACCTCGCAGACTGTAATCGCGTGCGCTGGAAATGAGTTTTATAGGTGGCGCTGGGTTGCAGGTTCGGGACAGCCGTTCGATTGGCGGGATGGTCAACATGCCTTCATGGCTGTTTTTCTGATCAGCATGTATTTTTAATCCATATTTACATCACTGCTCTCAGCGGACCCGTTTTCATCGTTGGTTATTTCTGGAGAGGCGGACGCTGGACGTGGCTGACGCCTGCAGCGGCGCACACTGCCCGTCAGGGACGGCGGCGTCTGCAGTGGACCAGATCAGGGGCGTTCCCGGGGGAGGGGGAATGGAAACGAGCCCCCCCCCGCACACAGACACACTGCTGAGCCAAGAGCTTCACACAAGATATTGAGCGATTTAGTAGAATCCTTGCCAAATTTGCAGCACCTTGGACTCCATTTTAAACCCCTTCCTCCTGAGGACAATTCTGGCTCCGTGCCTGGACCGGCCGGAGACCGCTGCAGCTCGGGACCACGAGCGGACCGGCCGGACCTCGGGCCGGTAGTCTGGTGATGTCAGGGGGACGGTATGTGCGGCGGCTCTGGGTCCATCCCACGGTCAGTGGACGCCCACCCCGGATCTGCAGGCCGGCCGGCCGCCCGGCGGCGCCAGTTCACTTGCAAGCTGCAAATCCAGATCTCACCGGATGTAGCTCGCTTTTGTGAGCTCAGAGCAGATCGGAGACCGCTGCCGGGAAAATCGGTCGAGGATGCGCGGTTGTAGTTTTCAGTATTTCGTTTAGAATGCTAACCAAGCGTTTCATGGCCGGGACATAACCGAATTTATATGTTTATTCAAGCACTGAGCCTGCATTTTATTCAGAGTCGAATGGTTTGATCAGAGAGCGCGAGATGTCCAGTGCAGGTCGCTCTTGCCCACCCTTCGTTACACAGAACTGTGCCCTTGCTATGACAGTCTCAGACACATTTCAGGCCGCCTCCCCCTCACACACACTTGCTCCAAAGCCATGGTAATGCCACACGACCTCCGGTGGCACAACCTGCGCCCTACAGCGTTGCGTTGCAGCGTAGCAGCGTAGCAGCGTAGCAGAATAGGATATCACCCACCGGTCGTAAAACAGACAGGCCAATGTCACATGCTAACAGTGTTGACGTTGCGGTGGAAAACCCGGAGCCACTGACGCGCGTCTGGGAAAGCCGCACATGACGCACAGTAACCCCTGGCGCGTGAGCGGCAGATGTTCGCGGCTGTGTTCTGGTTAAAGTCGGGAAGATAATGTGGTTAAGTGTATGTACGATGAGCACTATGCATATAGATAAGACAGTATTGGTAGCATCATTCCGCGCAGAATATCAGGAGAATGGAGAGATGGATGTGATAATTCGGCGACATGCCTTTATCGAAATAAATGAATTGTGGTATGTAGATATGGAATGGATAGTGAAATATACATATGCATATATATATATATATATACATATATATATATATGCGACTTATATTTATATATTCCTTTCGATGAAGGCATATAGCCGCAGTTTCACGTCTGTCTCTATTCTCCTAAGCGGAATAGGGCTATTTTAGTGCGTTGCCGTATAAGGAAAGCAAGTTCTTTCTCCTGCGAATCATTTAATGCATCTGATGTTTCCGCACAAAGTCTGTTTGACAATAGCATTTTTTTCTGCTTTCTTGAGACTGGGGAGGCGTTGTTGTCTCGTCTGGTGGCGGCTGCTGCACGGGCAGGAAGATCTCCTGAGCCACCCGGCTTTTTGCATTCGGGTAATCTTTTTGCACTGTTCAACGTCGCTTTGTATCAAGGGGTGAGCACGTCATCATCCGGATCATTTGCAGACACAACTACCACGGGGAACTAACGATAAAAACCACCAGTTGCAAGGAGTGTGCCTCGGAAATGGGGAAGAATCGTTCCTGGTGTGAACTGCCCATTAGGCTCTGGGGACTTAGATCTCACTTCAGGAACAGAACCCCGGATCTTCGAATGACTTTTTCAATGCCTTGCCGCCGAGATAGCAAAGACCCGACATTTGATCGCATCACTGCTGGTAGGACCGTGTTTATTGGTGATCGGAAGTGTAATGGGTGTTTGATTTCAAGCCGGGAACGTCATGCAAAACGCGATGCCGTAACGCGGTCCTGCGCGGCCAGGATAGGGATAAGACGATTCACCATTCACATACTGGTTTTCTTGCTAGAAATCCGATCATTCATGGAGGCGTTCCATAGACATTGGTTAATATCGTGAGCCTGACGAGTAGCAAGGAGATAAACATAATTAACAAGAAGTTAAAACAACGAGAGAGGGGACTGCCCCATCAAAATAGTACATAACGATACCATTGTCCGGGTGCTTCGGTATGAGAGGCGTCAATAGCATTCACGTTACTTTTGCCGGGCTCTGGCTTAGGCGGCAGTGCAGTGGTTCCTGCTGGTTCCATTTTATCGTTTTAGGAACACACGTATATGGGCCTCTCCCGTTGTCTGTCCCTGCGGCCGCACCACAGGCGTGATACCCTCGCGCACAAGCAGTCTGATGGGAGCTGCGACTGCGTCACGTGCGGCGCGACCTCGCTCGGCGTGGTTGCCTCAGGAGGATGAAGGACCAAGTGGACCCATGGCACGGCATACAGCAGTATCCAATGGCCACGCCAGAAATCTCGTCGACCCCTCCTGTGACGAACCATTCGTCTGAGGTGAACCGTAGCCCACCTTACACGCTGTTCCTGTCACTTATCGCCTCACCTCACCCCCGTTCCTCATCTATCTCTCTACGGACACGGTTTACTTTAGACGCATGTTTCCGTGTTTTCGCTGGATCGCATTGCACCGTCTTTCAGCAGCCACGCGCGCCCCCCGCGACGGCCGCCGCATCACCGCGCCGCCCCGGGCGCCCCTCGAACCGCCGATCCTGACCTCTGACCCCGAGCTCTCGGCCGGGCCGTCAGACGGCGCAGAGGTCAGCCGAGATCAAAAGCCCTGTCAGCCTGCGGCGGCGGCCAGGCATCCCCCCGGCGGGTGTCACAACCGACGGCAAAAACTCGGCGCGCGCAGCGCTGCCCCTCCCCCTCCGCTGGCGGCGGGTCTTTGTCCGCATCGGGTGAGGCTGCGAGACCGTGGGCGTCTCGGAAATCGACGGCATTGCTGCGCCAGTTTCTGGAAACAGATGAGGATCTGAGGTGCGCAGGGCGAACGATGGGTGATTTTGACGCCACGTGCAGTGTTGACGGGCACGACGAAAACAGACCTAAACGTCTGTCGCAAGACCAAATGTTAGTTTTCAGCTGCTCTAGGACATTAATTTGACAGCCTGCATGCTGAGCCCAGCGTTTCAAAATGCATCCAGTAAGATGTGCAGGACTGAAGTATCAAGCCATACCTACAGAATTCTGGCTCCACCATGGCCTCTGCACTCACAGTTCGTTGACTGCTGATCCATTGTTCAGTAAAGGAATGCTCCATATTTCTTTAGGTTTTGAATTGAAATAACCATCTTGAAGGTTATTCGGTGCAGTTCAACAAACCTTGCCTTTCTTAAGACGTAAGCCTTTTAAGTTTCTGAGCTACATGCCCGTGAGGATGTCAGGACCATTTTAGGGACGCTTCTAAGTTCACCCAGGTATCCATGACGTCATAACAACGTCATTCAAATCCTGCCATTTTATTAGCCGTGCGGCAGTTTAGGCCAAGAAAAACACAATTATCCAGTCATTAATGCCTGGCGTTCATTAGCACGGTCTCCAGATAAAACGACCGTCAACTGGCTATGGAGCAGTGTTATGCAAGGTACGATGACGAAGTAAAAGAATGACGTATTGAGGTACGATTTACGTAACCGAGAATTGTGCTGTCTGGAGCTGTCTTTTCCACTTAAAAGTATACGAAAAGTTATTAGTGAGCTTCGTTCATCACATCTAATGCATGCTTCATTATCTTCAAACGTGGAACATTCCCATTGAAGGGAGAATCTCACCTTTTGTGCTCTTTACTTATTGTTATATCACATGCGTACGATTAGATCAGCAAAACCAGTTTTCTCGAAATCCTTCTGAATGGCTTAGAATTTTGGTTCGAAGTAACCGACCCTGCGAGAGAAATCCCATTTGGCTTCCTGCTCACCACTATGAAAGTAATATATTTAATTTGCCTTGTTTTTCGAACGTATGGTTGGTAATATTTGCAACATACTTATGTGGCAAGGTTTTGTGTGATAAATGCTACGAAAGCTTGAAACACGCTGTTAAGACAAAAAGACATGCGAACACGAAGCTATGATCCCGCGAAACGAAACGCCATACTACGGCTTTGATTTTTCGTCCATGGTGTTAACCACAGTGGCTCTTTTCGAGGCGCATTTTGGCTTTGTAAATGGGAGAATCACATCCATTTGACGCACTGGTTCATGCTTCAACCAATGAGCTTCTGGGTAGCAGACCCTTGCCCGCTGGGCCAAACACAAACGTTCTTTTATTCGTACTGGTAGACGTGCGCGCAGCGGTAGTCATGACAACCGTAGTTGCAGCTGCAGGGAAGACGTGCAGTGCTGTTACGAAGTGTTGACTGTGTAATTTGGACTAAAATAATGAGGTTGATATCCTTTTTATGTCCTGACAATGCCACAGTGGCACTATCCAGTGCAGTTATTAAATGTAAGTAGTCCTGAGGTTTCACTAGAGTCGGTTTTTGAAACACGCCCCACCACTCTTTTCAGCCTCTAACCCTGACACCCGACCTGCCCGGCCGATTCGCCAAGCCCGAGGCCCCTAAATGCTGGGTTGACCGATGTCCAGCTGGGTGCTGATTGGCCAATCTTGAACAAGGTGTGGAGCAGCGGGCAACGATTCCTGAGCCGTGATGCGATAACATGAACGAATATCGACATCCCTGTCACTCACGTGGCCGATTGTTGCTGCACTGGCTGAGCCCTCATTTGACTCCAAATCTTGCATGAGAAAGTTGCAGCCTGGTGATTTCTGGCGTGCTAAATCGTTTATGTGATTGGCACTCATCCTTAGCGGCGCAGCCCGACTTTGCGATGGGGTGAGGCTAATTTTTTACAAGCGTGTCGCGGCCTCATTGACAGTACGTATACACTGTGAAAAGACTAAAAGACGCCATAAGCATTAAAAAGCTCGGCACCTAGCACACCAATGAAATATCGTTGGTTACACCGATGCCTTAAGCAATTATTTCACCCGCGCACCTTATGGCATATTAATTTATTCCACCACCAGTCTTATCACTAGCTTACGACGTTTTTGCTCCACATGTCGCTTTCTATGGCAGTCTTTTTGAAATATAAAATCAAAATAGTTTTCCTGACCACCAAATTTTCAAATGATGCGCGGTACTGTCGTGGTGAAAAACTGCGCTCGAGCCTGGAGATGGTGCGAGGCTAAGCCCCTATGAGCCCCCCCCCCCGCCCCCCCCCCCACCACCATCTTGGCTGCGCCCCTGCCTGCCCTTGATTGACGCAACCGAACTGAGAGCGCAACGCCGCTAAACTGAGCTACTCAAAAACGAACTCTAACAATGGACGTTATGCGCATATTTCATGCAATTTGCCCCTTTATCTGTGCTCGTATTTGAACATATCTTTAGCACACACACATGCACAAACACACACACACACACACACACACACACACACACACACACACACACACACACACACACACACACACATATATATATATATATATATATATATATATATATATATATATATATATGAGCTTCTCAAATGCCCTTCGATATGTGCCCAACTTTAAAATGGTGCGGGGCGTACATTGCCTCTCCCGAAGGCCGTCACCCATTTAAAACGAAGTGATAAGTGAAATTGCCATTAAAAATGCCATTAAGTTTCTTCACAACATTGGCTCGTAGCTATATACCTACACATGCATGTGCATACCTGCCTTAAGTGTAAATGATAAGCAAAACACGCCGTACCTTAAATTGAGCCTAATATTTGCTCAGTTATAGAACCACTGGCTTTTTCATTGGCAATGCATACCTCATGCGTGAGCGGCGACTCCACAAAAGGCTGATTGTTCGTGTAACGTTTCCTATCTTGACACTCATGATATCTGACACTCATGATATCTGCGCTAGTGACACTTGACACTCATGATACTTGCGCTCTGCGTCGTGACAATGCCGCATAAGCAAACAGTTGCAGAAGTAAACAGTTGCCATTCAGCGAGCAGCAACGTTAGCCCATCTGTCGCGCCGGAGCAGACGAGCGTTCGTGGAAGGTGACGTCACACGTTTGGGTGGTCCCCGACGCGACACCGCGTTTTTCGTCCAGCAGCTGTGACCTCAAATGACCTTCGTCATCTCAAGTGAGCCGGGCACCGCCCGCACCGCCCACATTTGTGTCCATCTCCGTTTAGACACGATGGTCTCAATGGAACATATGTAAGGTTTTCATTGTTGTCGTCAGTAAGGCCTGTGCACAAATGACGAATGGTACTTCTCTGGTTTTGGCTAACGCTATGGTCATTGAGTTCCCATGCCACGAAAAAACAAAACAAATGAAGCATGTCACAGCCATTGCATTATAGATAAGTACGGGACAAATCAACCAACGGTATGGGATGTATGGTGAATGCTATACACTGTCTTAATCGGAGTTATCTTTGGAGCATTTCGTCTGCAGCTAAATTTACTCTGCAAGCCGTCTGAAAAATCTGCCAAAGAAAAAGACAGATGCAGGAATCATCATCACATGCTGGATCCGTGCGTACGTCTGGTACATCAGCTATGGCTTTCATCGCTGACCTTCCAGGTAATCATTACATATTACATGTTGCATGTAAAATGCGGACTTTTCTCGCTGTTTCTTTGGTTCATTTACCATTTTGTTCCCAAACGACATAGTAGGTTTAATCCTTGATACGGCGAAAGTTGTGGATGGTGCTACCGACCAATGACTGGGAAGGAAGTTGCAGCAGTGATGACAATGTGTTTTTGTTCATTCATTCCATGCGTCAACATAGGCGTAATATAAGATTTACAACTAAATAGAGGATGCGTCTTCTCCCAGTTTCCCGCTGGTGCTGCCTCTGAGCACACTTCTGCGAAGCAAACACTTCAACGAGTGGCCATTGTAACCATTGTAACTGTTTGCCTTTCGTGCGATCCCGCTTCATTGTTCAGAGTTCGAAGAATGCTGTTCCGAGGTGCGCTTCTGTTCGAAAGCGACCGTGGCATATTGAAATGTTTATTGCAACAGCTCTGGGCGGCGTCACCGACAGCGTCAGCGTCTCCGAGAACGGCGTCTCGTGACGAGCACGCTGACGGCTCTGCCAGCCGACGCACCGGCGAAATAACGAAACCCACACTTGAGCGGCGAACGACAACACTGAAGCTAAAATAATACAAACATCAAATGCACACGCGAAGTCGCACAGCGGTGCGCCATTAAAACAGCCGGGGCTGGCGGAGCGTGCGTGGCATGCCCGCGGGCGGTGACTGGCCCTGCCCCGGGGCGAGACCCGTGACCCCGTGGGGGGAGAGAGCGTGCTCGCTGCTGAACGGCCCGGTCGGTCGACGGCCGGAAATCGCTATCGGTATCGATCACCTCGCGCCGCCGGAGGGGCGTCGCCAGCGTGCTGAAGAGGGGCTCGGATCAGCCGACAAGACGCCGCAGCCGCCCTCCGGCTTTGCGCCGCTGCGAACGACGCAGCAGCTGAAAGTGACGAACAATACCAGCGACCGGCTGATTGTACCGAGGTGCCAGGCCTGGACAGAGCACATCGGAGTCCAAGTCAGCCGCAGACTCCGAGCGACCCGCCTCCGATCCCATCACTGGCGCCACGCCGCGGCCGAATTCCCGGTCTCGCCGGCGCCCAAAGTCGGGGAAAGACTCGGCCTCGGGTAATTCGCACCCGATCACTGCGTCGAGTAGCTGGACACCGAGTACGAGTTGATGCCGTTGTCGTAGTAGGTGCTGATTGGCGCTCCGCTCGTGACGTCATAGCTGGGCGTGACCGGGTAGAACATGGCCTTCTTGTCGTACAGGTTGACGGGCGGCAGGCCGGATATACCTGCCGGTGACGTCAGCGTTAGTGGGCGGAGCCAGGGGCGGGCACGTGCCGGCTGGCGCCATTGCGGCACGCGCTGTAGCCGCGCGCCGAGTGATGGGGGCCCGAGCTCCCCGCGATGCTCGGGAGCCGGTATCGTGGCCCGTGCTGGTTACATCGATAAATGGCCCAATAAACGTTGGTCAGCATTCGTGAACCAGGTGCATTTGGATGCGATGGCAGTTCCGCTTGAAGCCGATGTTTTTAAACGAAATGAGCTTGTTCAGTCGCGGTCGTATAGATACGAATGAAACAGCGCACGCTTTTAGAAAGCTACATGGCCGTGTCAATCACATTCACCAATTTGTTAATTGGTGAAATTGGCGGACACAGACGGACAAAAACCATGACAGAGCATTTGACTGCCCGCTCGTTCCAAGGGATTTGTTTCCTGGGCACTGCAGGCTAATCTCCAGTAAAGGCAAGCCGTTATTCCTTGATGACGTAAATTGTGAAGTGCATTTGCGAGGAGCACTATGCACATAGATAGGACGGTAGTAACGCCTGCTATTGTTTCGATAAAGACATGTTGCCTAAATATCAATGCATCTATTTCTCCATTCTCCTGTTTTTTTCTCCGAAGTATAAGGCTGTTTCTGTCGTCTAATTGTCCCATAATCGAGAAGTACAAGTCAAATCCAAAACAGCTACTTAAGCCAAGTGCTTCTGCTGAGTTGCCTATTTGCCTTGTTCCGTGTTCTGCGGCTCGACCCGGACCTAATGGAAAATGGGCCTTAAGCAAGACAAAAGGAACACGAAACCGAGCAATGACCGAGCGCACCTAGTGACCGAGCGCACCATGTGACCGAGTGTACCGAGCGACCGAGTGCACGCAACTCTCGTACCGCGGAGCCCTAGGTGGCCAGGAGCGCCGGCCGACCGGTCAGGTGGGCTGCGCCAGTGGCGGACCCAGCCGAGGCCAGACGACGGCCCGCTCCATAATTGATCACCTTAACACCAGGAAAGAGAAGACCACGGAAGAACGAGATAAACGACCGGGAGAGGCCTCCAGGAATGCAGAGACGGAGGTCCTCACTGATCATGAATGGGACGCGTGTCCCAACGGCGTCTCGCCCGGGCTCCGGAGGGCGGGGCTGTCGAAGTTGGCAAACATCTTGACACCAACAATGGAGGAATTCGTCTAGTGCGTCAGGAGCTGGTCGGTATGAGGCAGCGGATGCTCAACCTGGAGAAGCATGTCAAGAACCAGGACGCGGAGCTGAGTTTTTTTAGCATGCTGTAGATCAACAGAACGCGAGGATCTCAGAAGTGGAAGATGCCGTCGTGGAGCTGAAGATGGACAGAGACCTCCGTACCTCATCTTTGAGGGACCAGGTGTCGTAGTAGGATAATGTGGAGGAGACGGCAGTTAAGACCACACGTAAATGCCAACCGCGAGGTGAGCACCGATGACATTGCTCAAGTTTACCGCGTTAGAAAGGGGAGGAAAGATGTCTGTCAGCTCTTGCGTGTGGTCCCAAACAGTGTGCGGTACATAATTCATCAGAAACGGGTCGCATTAGGTAGGGATAGGAATGGACATCTGCGTAACAGAAATAAACAGCTGTGCAGCAGCGAACATTTTTTGGGAGGGCGGAGGCGGCATATACTAGATTACGTAGAACAAAACGGCAGGGTCCTATCCATAATGTGTCCAACCAGCAGGGACAGATCTTCGTTTTCCTGTTTGAGTACGGCCAGATGACTGGGGTGAGGAATTTTTGAAATGCAAAAAATATCCGGATGATGATGATGATGAAAAATATGTGATGATGCACATCATCCAAATATCTGGACGATGTGCCGCATACGGTCCAGACACGGAAATCGCAGCTTTTCTGCCTAACATACCGGCACTGCCCCTTCACATTGCTGATGTATAGAGATTGTGGCGAGTTTATTTCTGTGTGCGCGCGATGCTCGCGTACAGAGCGCTTTCCTGCCGTCCTTGCTGATGTGTCTGAGACCGCCTGTGCGCTGCGTTGCCCCTGGCAATTAGCAGCTGCTTCACCGACCTTGACCGCCGCCAGGGCCCATCAACTGACCGGTGTGGGGACTCACGTACCTGGACCGCCGTTCTGGCTGATGACCGAGGTCATACGTGGCGTACGTCGCGACGGCTTCACGTGGCATTGTGAGTACGAAGGCTGCACTCCCCGAGACATCTGAGTCGTGGGACGTGTCGATTGTAGTCACGGCAAGTTAGATGCTCACTGAAGGATGCGATTATATTTTACCTCCATTTATTTACATTAGTGAAAGTATGGCTGGTGCGAAGCACGTCTCTTTTAATGTAAGAGTCACGCGACAAAAATGTAAAAGGCGTGCAATATTCTTTTTCTACATACAGCGCACGCAAATCACATCGCCGTTTTGCAGGACACGCATTCATGGTTATCAGACGTCAAAATTTGGAGCCGCACGGGGTGGGAACATTCTGTACGTCCACAGCCCGAGATGTGATGATTCAGGCGTAGTTATCTTGCTGCCAAGGCCTAACGCGCGCTGTGCTGCAGCCGATTTGTATTGTGACAGTGGTGGGAGGGGGGGGGGGGGGGACTCCTTCTCGCCGACTTACAGTTTGGATGCGTCCGTCGTAAACATTTTTGCTGTTCTTCCACCAACCCAGGGCTATGGCAAGGCTCATGTAAAATTTTGCAAGAGTATGTGTGAGAAGTTGGAGGCTTTGTCTGCTGATGAGATAAAATCTATTTTGGCATGAGGGGACTGCAGCGAACATCTAAGTGAACTTGATGTCAGTCCGAAGCGGTACCGGGTCACACGAGTCGCAAAGACCCTGTCGTGTTTTCTGAAGAATTTTGGTCTGGGAGGCGTTTGGAGGTTGCGGTTCCAGGACACTCTTTAATGTAACTGGCGCCGCCTAGGGCCGTTACAGCAGTCTCCTATCAATTTTGTAGTTGCTTGTAAATATTTGGTTATAAACTACATGACACACAAAACAGATATTTATACTGGAATTCTAAATGATCATCGCGTCGTTATTTTCGGGTCATGCTTGCGCTCCGTTCAGGAACAGCTAGTATTGTGGCGCTTCAATAATTTTACTTGCAATGACGGAGAACTTGTGCGAAAAGACTGGGTGGCGATTAACGAGTTACTGAGAGGTTTAAGCATTTACATGACTGTTGAAGATTTGGGCTTAAGGTTGCAAGTGGTATCTGGTTAAATATAAACTCAAGTTATAAGAGGAAGCAAGGAAATTGCCAGGCAGAAAAAGGATAGAATAGGGCAAGCAGCGGGGGTAAAATCGAAGTTGGAAAGAGAAATTGAATGGTGCACGAATACAAATGATTAACGAAAGGCCTGAATGATTATGAAGAGGAGAATGTGAAACGTGCAGTCCTACTTTCAAGTGCCAGGTGTTAAGAACATCGAGAAAAGCCTTCTAGGTACTTTTTCGGTCTATGCACGAGAAGGGTGGCGAAAAAAATCATTGCTAGGTTGTGGAGAGGGTATGGAAAATTTACGTCTGATGGTGAGGAAATCTTGCGATTATGTAATGAGTATTATTAATATATTTACCAGCCAAGGAAGGAATCTTTGGATTTTGGCAATGTCATATCAAATCATGTCGATAGTTTTCATCGGCCAGAGTGCCCACAACTGAGTGAAATTGACAGGGCTCATGTGACGGCCCAATAACGAATGAAGAATGTACGTGCGCACTTAAAGGTATGCTGAACAACAGATCTCCTTCAGTATCAGAGTATACCAAAGACTTCTTCGTATTTTTCTGGGCCGATATTGGTAGCCTAGTCGCTAGGCACATAAACCAAGCCAAGGACAAGGGTCAGTATTTCGTCACATAACGCAGTGGTGTAATAACCCCAATCCCAAAGAAGGGTGTTCAGACTCTACTAGATAATAAACATCGTATATGCCTATTTTATATGGTGTATGGAGTTGTCGCTGAGGCGTTAGCAAACCGGCTTACGCGAACCATGCATAAGCTTGTATCCGAGGACGAAACGGGTGGCATCAGAAACAGGCATATCGGCACGAGTTTGAGGGTAGTGGCTGATGCATTCGATATATGTGAAGAAAAAGACGTTGGAGGCTTATTGACGGCACTCGACTTTAAGGATGCCTACAACTCTGTTGAACAGGCATTTGTATATCAAATGTTGAGACCGTGCAATTTCGGTGATAGTTTTATTGGATGGACTCAGCTTTTGACAATGAAGCAGAATTAGCCGCAATTAAGAGTGGATATATCTCAGCTTGGTTTTCGCCATCGAGAGGGCCCCGGTGGGTATGTCTAACTTCTGCATCTATTTTCACGTTCGTTGTCAATTTTTTGCGTTGAAAATTAGAGCAAGGTGTGACATTTGAGGAATACAATGGAAGAAGGTGACATTTGTCATGGCTGTCATGTCATTTCACATTGGTCACACTGCGGTGGCACTAATTGCTTTTTGTCAATGACTTCAAGTCGGCCGGGCGCGTTCACGGCTCAGTATAGGATTTTGGAAACGTCTCCGGCCTAGCGCGAGGACAAAGGTGCTGCCAAAGGATATTGAAGAGGGAATAGGGACTTAACACGTCGGACTTAGCTGTAATATATAAAACTCAAAGAGTTGTATGGCTCACTCGAATGGCTTGACATCCGGATCTCGCCTCTGTAAAAGTGTTACTAATGAAGTTACAAGCCTTGTCGTTGGAGGAAGTTTTGAGAACAAGTTGCGGCAAAAGTTGGGTTAGGAGGTTAAAGGTCTCGTCTTTCTACAAAGAAATGTTGTCTCAGCTTAGAAAAATTGAGCCGTGAAAGGAGCCGAGGAGTGGCAAAAAAGTTCCCCTGCAGATTATATAGAATAACGCAGCAGTTCGGTTACGGGGTACACCAGTTTGCCATAGAGCACTCAGTGCTCACCGCTTCAATTTTATTGACGACGTTCTTGATTATGATGGATGATTGGTAGGTTATCAAGAATTAAACATAGGTCCAGTACATCCCATAACTTCCATGGGATGGTGTCGTGCCATTCCCCAAGCATGGAAACATATGGTAGTTGGCAGTACCCCACTCAACGAGGGAGGACAAGGCGACGTCTAATCACATTCACATTGCCAATAAATTGGTTCCACTAAGCAGTTTAAGAACGCACGATTTCTGTGCATGCCAGCGACCTTGAGCTCAGCCTACGGCCCAGAGACGATGGGAGGCGGACGGTTTTAACTTCGGTGACCGCTGGCCAAGGTCATAAGGACTCTCCTTCACAATAACGAAGTAAACTCGGCCGCAAAAGCTTCAGTTTAAAATAGGTCGCAGATACTTTCCAACCAAATGCCACCTGCTTGTAAGGGACGTTCTCTCGGAGCCATTTTGTGACGAGTGCAGCGGAGTGGACACGCTCGGGCATTGCACTTGGTCATGCCGCCGGCTGACGCACTTCTGCGCCGTGCTGTCTGATGTCCTGAATAAAAACAAATAATTGGGACGGATCGGTTTCATGCAAATGTCGTAAGCACTCTTTTTGCGTGCATTCATGGACTACTTGAGATTGCTCTCCGCCATAAATCATGGTAATCACTTCGTCGCATGTTATGACTGCTAAATGGCTTACAGCAAATTTTCCTGTTCCTCTCAGAATAAATGAAGTAGGAATATTGTTAACAATTCAGGATCTTGGTAAGGAAGCCATGTTGATTACTTAACACACACGATACATACGTAGATGGGTTGGGAGGTCTGCATACTGTCAAGACAGTATATCCATTTAAGGCACTGGTGTTTTATTCAATAGCACAGACCTTCAGAATAAAAAAATAAGGTCCAAGAACCTTTTGGCGGATCACCTCTGACGCAGAAGCGCATCGGAAGGGGGTCCAGCGGTTGACCGAGGTCGCCGACAGGACTGAAGCGGAACCTAACGGCGAGCATGCATCAGTGCCTCTTCACTCGGACCCCGCTTTGGAAGCCTCCAGTAAACAAGGCCTGACTGCCGTGATGAACGCCCCAGCCCGAAATATGGATTTCGTCGGATCGGGCGCGACTCACCGCCTCGCGCCACCCTGCGGGAGCATCCTGGTACAATGCATCAATCTATCCACTCCCCGGGCGCGCCAAATAAACTGCCACCGCGCGCCGGTAAACTGTTGAGAACTCGGGTAAACGGACTAAATCGGTAAGTGTCTGCGTGCCTAGACCGGTCTGCGAGCCAACTCGGGATAGCCGGCGGGGGGAGGGGGAGGGGGGGGCGGTGAGCGTCTGGTTTCCCTGAAGGGGTGCTCAGCGATGGGGGGGGGGGGGGAGCCGCCTCCGTGCGAAAATCCAATACGTTTAAGTGAGCCGATTAGATGGAGTTGTAAAAAACGAACACTTCTGATGAACTGAAGAAACCCGTTGCTGCCTCTTCAATCGGTTTTTAAAACAGCGACGGTATCAGCCCAGATTTGACATCACCGAGAATGGCCCCGCCCGCACATGATGCAAGACAAGGCTGGGGGCGTGAGGCAAGAGTTTACAATTTGGAATAAACCTGTTGTTTTTACACCGTCCCCCCCCCCCCTGCTATTTTGCGGCAATATTGGCAAAACGCCTCATAGAGCCATGGAACGAAAACTCACGCTTGCATCAGTTTAGTTTGCAAGTCAATCGCTTTGGATATGGCAAAGCTACCATTGTGCGGGCGATTGTGGGGGCTTACTTGTCATTTACAAACAAATGTCTGGAGCCTGAGCAAGTGATGTTCGACTCAACCGATCCCAAGAATGGGACGCGATTGTAAGGATTTACGGTTTGATTGTTCAATATGCCCGGGCCATGAGCTGACCGCAATCCTTGGAGATGAACGCGGGCCAGTCGACCCCAGGTATATGAGAGCTTACTTCCTGCCTCTTCCTGGAAAAAAATCAGGTAGAGCAAATATGACCTCTTCGTTTTGCAACTGCGGAATAGTTTGCGGTTTCGCAGATACTTGAGGAAAACAAACAAATTATTATCCATGCACAGTTCCCTGTAATAGCGAGCCATTTCACTAAAACACAAGTGATTGACATTTGGATTATGAACTGCAGCGGTCTCCCCCGAGGCGTTCAAACGGCCCTGTGCACGCGGTGACCACGTGCACTATTCGACCAATAAATCAGTGTCGGCTGAACTCCTGTCGTGACAGGCTTAAAAAAACAGACCACGTCACCCGGCAACGCTGAATTGCGATGTAAGCTGGACTAGTGAGGCCTGGCATGCGCTCCTTGGACGCCCTGCTATGAACGATGCAGATTCTAGGCCCAAATCACCGTGACCTGAAGCCGCAAGCTCAACCAGTGATTGTGGAGACGGTCATGTGGAGGTAGAGTGATGAAGTTGGTATATATATATATATATATATATATATATATATATATATGTGTGTGTGTGTGTGTGTGTGTGTGTGTGTGTGTGTGCGTGTTTGTGTATCTTTTTGATTTCTATATGGAGCATGAGGCAATACTGCTGGTGGCTCATTTTTAAACAGCTTTATACTGTCGAGAAAATTGGGCGTCTCCGCCTTTCTCTCCTTTCGCCTCGTTTCTTTCTAGCACAAACGTCTCCAGCGACATTTCCCCGTCTCTTCCTCTTAAAAAGCCTGTGAGGCGGCCGCTTGGCGCCGGTGCCGCGCGGCCTCCCTGCGCCCGTTCCCGGGAGGCTGTGAACATGACGGCGCAGACCGCGCCCGTCACCTCCGGGCGCCGTTATCACAACACAGCCGGGTAACGCTAGCCGGGGGGAGCGTTACCCGGCTGGCTGCCGCCCCCAGGCGTCTGGCTGACCTGGCGCCGAGCCGCACCAGCAGCCGGTGACGCCGCGGCGGCGCGGACAGGCGGGAGTGCGAGTGTGTATTGTGTCCTTCCGTTGCATGCAGTGCGTTCATTTGTGGTCAAGGGTTGGACGCCTGCGCTTAAAACCCCGCCCTGCAGTCCTTCTTTGATGACCAAAACAAGGTGCTGTCGAATTCTGCACTCTGGTCATTTCCAAACGGAGTCGGGAAGAGAAGGACAGTTAAAAGGAACTGGTTAAATGACCTGTCGGCCTCTCTGTTAGTGTCAATTGCGGCATCGTCCTGGCTGTACTCCTCGTCAGCGACCATGGACTGTTGAGCAAACTCGTTTTCAAGGAAGGGCTAAATGAATGACTAAACATTGATCTGCCAAGACCCATCACTTCAATCTGTGGGCTTGGCATATTAAGCTCATGGAACTTTTCAATGCGAAAAGGCAGTGCCTCGCGGACCTGGTTAACAAGCATGCGGTTCATATGTTGATAAAATTTAAGCTCACATGCGACTAGTGATCGCACTTATCTCCGAACGACCCAGCGTTGTTACAACCCAGAAATCGTTTTGCCGTGGTTCCACAATGAAGCCAGCAGATAAAGTAGACGCAGACGACGTATGCAAAAAGCCGCTGGAAACGTCACGCTTTCCATTCAGACCTTCCCAAACACCGCAACATCCCCACAGGCTGCCCCCTGCCCCCAGGCCGCTGCGCGCGCCTCCAGCTCGCGTCCGCCGCCTCTGGGCTCGTGTCCGCCGCCGCCGGACGGGCGGCGGGGTCACTGACCTGGGAACTCGCTGTCGCAATGCATGGAGGGCAGGGGGTGTGGCGGGTGGCCGTGCGAGGTGATGTGGGGCGAGGCGGTCGACATGGGCGTCAGGGTGTAGCCGCCGCCGCCGCCGGCGCCGGCCGCCGACAGCGAGCTGGACGGGTCAGCCGACGAGGGTGACAGGGAGCCCGGCGAGCCTGGCGACAGAGCGGCGACCGGGTTAGCGGCCAGAGCGAGAGGCAGGCAGAGGGGCGACAGGCTGAGACAGAGGGGCGACAGAATACGGCAGGGGGGCGACAGGCTGCAACAGAAGGGCGAGAGGCACGCAGAGGGGTGACAGGCTGCGGCAGAGGGTTAACAGACTATGGCAGAGGGGTAACAGACTGTGACAGAGGGGAAGCAGACTGTGACAGAGGGGCAACAGGCTGCGGCAGAGGGGCGACAGACTGTAGCAAAGGGACGACAGATTGTGACAGAGGAGCGACAGACTGTGGCAGGGGGCGACAGACAGAAAGATGAACGTCAGACGTCGGAAATGTTCAGAGGAGGAAAACAGATGCCAGCCGAGAAGTGCCAGAAGGCAGAAGACAGCACAGAACCTTAAAGGGCAGACGTCAGCAGAGGTGTCATAGAGCAGAACACAGCACAGAGCGTTGAAGAGCAGACGACAGTAGAGGTGTTAGAGAGCAGAAGACAGCACAAAACGATGCCAGGGCAACGATGAAGGACAAACCTTAGCAGAGGTGTCAGAGAGCAGAAGACAGCACATAACGTTAAAGGGCAGACGACAGTAGAGGGGTGACAGAAAGGAAAAGGCAGCACATAACATTAAAGGGCAGACGACAGTAGAGAGGTGACAGAAAGGTGAAGGCAGCACAGAACGTTAAAGAGCACCCGCCAGCAAAAAGGTGCTTGAAGAGAGGCCCCAGTGGGCAGACATCATCCAGAGAATCAGAAGGCACACGCCGACGAAGAGTGTCAGAGAGCATACGTCAGCAGGTAGGCGCCAAAGGGTAGCCATTGATATTGAGAGCCGGAGGACAAGCGTGAGCAGATAGGTGTCGGGCGCAAACGTCGACAGAGGGTGTCAGAGAACATAGCCCGGCGGACAGGTGGCAGTGAACGTAAATCAAAGAGGAGCGTTAGAGAGCAAATGCCAGCTGACAGGTGCCAAGAGACATGCACCAGCATACAGAACAGAGAACAGACGTCAGAAGAAAGTGTCAAGGGGCGGGGGTCATCACAGACGAACAGATCGAGAATCACACGGTAGATGCAAAATAGAGGGTATGGGGTAAACATCTGCCGAGAGGTGTTCCATCCATCGACAGTCAGTGCAGCCACAGATCAGGGCGCAGACAGATCGCTTCAGGGCAAAGACAGACGCCAGAGAAGATAAGTCAGATGGCTGACAGATATTAGGCGATGGTGTCAGAGGACAGACACGCCAGTGGAAAGAAAACAGAAAGCAGCAGTGGCGGCGTACCCGAATTTCGTATGCGGGGACGAAACAAAATTGACTGGGTTTTTCTATCTGTAGGACCCCCGAGAGCGTGGATAATAGACTGCCCTTGTAGACTGCCCACCTAAGAGCTTGGCTTCATAGGTGCGCAGTCTACAAGGTGCCGATGCTTACTTCTTGTCATTTACAACGCTTCAAACGTACTTTTTCCTGACCCTACCTGTCGTATCCTCTTTTAAGTTTTAAGAACCATGCTCTGCACTCAGCAGCTACAAGCATCTGTACCTTTTTCATCAATCATACGTGAAAAGATTCCTTCAGATAACTTGCTTGCGTTGGGTAATTCAGGATCACCATGTCACGTAGCACAATGCGTTGAGAGGCAAGTAACAGTGTTTTCGTTCAGAATACATCAGGTCCCCGTTGGTTTTTGTCGTGCTATTGCCAAACTTTTCCAGACAGACGGAGCGGATGCAGAGTAGGGGTAATAGGCAAATGCCCTTACCAAATAAATGGCATAGGGGCCAAAATATGCTTGTGCCACCCACGATGTGTGATATAATTGTTCGCATTAAATTTGTCACAAGCACATTTTTACTGTTCCGTCAACGTTTTCTCCAGCCGACGGTTTCATTTTCCCTAATAATGGTTAACAGTCCACATTGGTCATCGGATTGTGCACAATGATTAAATCTGTGATGTTAATTAGCATCATGAAACTGTTATCCGCTGTTCTAAGCGATGCTTTTCAGCGCTGTTTTAAGTTTGTTACTGTTTTCGATAATGCTTTTATGACGCATTGTAAGAGGTTGCTTTCAGAAGTTAAAGCATCGATGTATGCAGGCCATATTTGAACATGCTAACTGGGGAGGAAAAGTCTCCCCAGCCTGTCAACATGCCTCCCCAGCCTGTCAACATGCCTCCCCAGCCTGTCAACATGCCTCCCCAGTCGTGAAATTCCTTCCGTTCAAGGACGTGGTCCAATACGCATGATAGCTGTAGGGAGCTAGGTAGTCTGTTAGCCTAGAGATATGAATGAGTCGAGTTGACAAAGCTAAGCAGCGGGAGGGAGTCTGTGGGTAATATGGCAAGTCTGTGGGTATATATGGCAACCAGGATATTCACTTCTCGCCAAAACCATTCAAACAATGAGAGAGGACATGTCCTCTACCTCCACAGTCTATCACAGGGCTCGACTCGCGATCCAATTTTTTTGCACCCCCCCCCCCCTCCAAGCAGAACAGCTGCAGCCAGAGCACTGCAATTTGGTGCATTTCTTCCTTGCTACCAATATGACACATCCAACAACATGCGTTGTCCCCAGGCGTCCCCCGGTTGGCTTTGTGGGAGCATATCAGAACAAAGCGTTTTTTTTCAAAAACAAAGCGAGCATTTCAAAAGTATATCTCGGCAGATTCCTCACACTGGAAATCGATGTTTGACCGAAGTAAATTTCCATGCCATCAAAATTTCGTTAGTAAGAAGCTGCCATGTCTCTGAAAGATTTTATGTTGTCAAAACGGACGCGGTGGGTATCCGATGTAATGATGACTCGATGTTGGTCCTGGTGCTGAAATCCGTATGTGTTTGCTTATACCCTAGCTATTGACCCATTGACGGCCGTGTATCTGCTGCTAAATGCCCAAATGCTGCAGATACAGATCCAGTGCATGGCAGATGCAGATTTTGGGGCAAGTAATTGGAGGTCAATGGTTCGAATGTCAATGCTGTTCGGTTGTAAAAAAGGAAACATACCAACATCCAGAGAGGCTTTCAGGGGCAGAGAGGCCCCAGCGCTCTAAGTAAAATGCCGCCCATAACTTTGGTCGGGGAGCACCCCAATCATACATGACGGACGCGTGCAAATGTGCAGGTTCATAGATATAGCACGAGATTTTGCATGCTATGCCACGCTCCTGATATGTCCGGCTAAAAAATCACACTTTTCTTTCGGCGTAATTTGACATGAATACTCATGTCATTCAGTCGATCTGCACCAACGTGTTTGCACCGCTGATTAATTTAGAGGAAATTTGTTTACCAAACTGGCAAACGGCCAACGAATGTAATGCCAACGCACGTATCAGTAGAGTCATGATTGAATCGTGTTGGAGCGATGGCGATGGTGACTGATGGGCCCAAACATCATTTATCCATGTATTCCGTATCACGTGTTCCAAGGTCGACAGGCTGAGCATTAGCCAATTGTTAATCAAGATATGATCCCGACTTTTTCTAGCTTGCCACTAATCAGGGCTCTTATCACGTGATTGGTGACAAAACTAAATTGGTGTCACTAAATAATTGAATGTTGACTATGTGATGCCATCGAATCGATTACATTGATGCACCCAGAAAGCGACCGTAGATCACGACTATGAGACGAAAGGCACAATCAGGCACCGCAAGCGATAGCCACAATTAACATAAATCATCGAACGCAAGGTATCTGCCGTGCGGTTTGAAAAAGATGGCATGGGGAAGGCGTAGTAGACGTGCGACGCCATCGCTTCGAGTAGACGCACGGCGCCTCGTGTCCACGACGTGAGGCGTCGTAGCACCAGTTGACTGTGAACTGCTACCCGCGAACTGAGTACATGCAGCACACCGCTTGATGAATGTTGCACCTGTTGTTGGTAACATCCTTAATAGATGGTGACCATACCATCCCCCAGATGGTTGAAAATCCTGGTGGCAGGCTTTTTACCATGAGGGAAAACGATAAAACACACGAATTGCAGGTACTACAGCGCATAAGTTGTCTGCTCTTTTTTAGAGAACAATCAGATAGATAAACAAAGAGCAATTACATTTTATAGCTAAGAAGAGAAACACCATTCCACTTTCTTTTACGCACCCGGCAAATCATCGCCGTTTGTTTTCATAACTGCTAGGGTAAAAGGCGGCACAACCGGGGTCGTTCTGACTAGTAACTACCATTGAAATGCGCAGAGAGCATTAGGAAGCCGCACTAAAATTCCTGTGAAAATAATCGGAGCGCCCACCAGTGCATCTCTAAACGGTCTTGCCATTTATGATCGTACTATTGATATTCACCATCTTCGTTCTTTTTTAAAGGACAGCAATCAAATTTGGCATGAGCTCCTTGATACCAAACATCAAAACTCAGCCGCCTCCACAGCACAGCTGGCGGTAAACATGCACTCAAGCAGTTCAGCTACGTGCTTTAGCATCGCACCTGACTACACCATAACCTACGCCATCATAACATTACTACCTGACGTTTAAAATCGCTTTGCCAGGCTTGGACAAAATTGCATCGTCCAACTGTTGAAACACAGCCAACCATTCGCTTGGCATTCATCCCCGAAACATCACTGGCTCGTAAACTGTGGCTGAAGTGCTAGTAAGGCAGATCACGTGCGTGCTGGGTTAGTTACCCGCGCTGTTAACGTCAGCTGGTGTATTGGTGACGAGACGTTAGTTAGCCAAACCGTCTCTGAGGAGTGAACGAATGGAGCGGTGACCTACCCAATGAGCTCAGTCGTAACACTGTAAATAAATAAAACACCTGGCGTCGGCTGCCGAGATGCACATTTATAATATTGATTACTGACAGATTCATTTGGCTAAAGCGTCGCTATCAGCCAAGTTGGCCGCATATAGGTCTGTCTCGATTGATACTGCAGTAAGCCTTACCAGAGGTGGAGGCTTCTCGCAAGGATTTATATGGAAATACTTAGATTTCGGCTTGACTTTTCGTAAACATCGCAAATGAACCCCACGACAAAACCTTCAGCCATCGGTGGATATGGCACACATCCCCCGGAACACGGTCAGCGGCACGCTAGCCATGAGGTCACCCACAGGTGACTGAGCCACCGCAGCCGAGGTCAGTGGCCGGAGGCAGTGCGCCGGTCACCGGTCACGCTTACCCTGCTCGGCGGGCGTGGGACTGTGCGGCGGCCGCAGGCAGCCCGTCAGCGGCGGGCCGGACACGGCGCCCAGCCCCGACCACGCCGCCTCCTTCTCGCCGTAGCCGGAGCCGTAGCCGGCGCCGGCCGGCGGCACGGCCGCCAGGTTGTACTCGTAGCCGGCGGGGCCAGGGGCGGCGGCGCCGGGCGGCGCCGGCATGTACGAGCCGGCCAGGCCGATCAGCGGGTTGTAGCCGGCCTGCGCCTGGCCGTAGGTGCAGGACGACGGGCTGAGCTGCGTGTAGCTGCTGTAGTCGGCGCTGTAGGTGGGCGGCTGCGCGGCCGGCAGGCCCTGCGCCGGGTCGTAGCCGCTGCTGGCGATGCCGCTGTTGGCCGGGTAGTAGCCGAACGACTTCAGCGGGTGGCGGCACTTGCGCCGAAAGCCGCGCGGACGCCGCCGCGAGCTGCCCTCCTCGAACATGTACTCGGCGGCCGGGTCGAGCGTCCAGTAGTGGCCCTTGCCCGGCCGGCCCAGGCCCTTGGGCAGCTTGATGAAGCACTCGTTCAGGCTGAGGTTGTGGCGCACCGAGTTCTTCCAGCCTTGGTAGCTGCCCTTGAAGAAGGTGAAGCGCTCCTGGAGGAAGCGGTAGATCTCGCTTAGCGTGAGCCGCTTGGTCGGCGAGCTCTGGATCGCCATGTGGATGAGGGCGATGTAGGAGAAAGGGGGCTTCTCCTGACGCCGGACGCCGGGAGCGCCGCGCTTGGTCGGCTTCTCCGCCGGCTCCGGCTCCGCCGCCGCTCCCGCCGGTGGCATCGGCTCCGGCTGCTGCTCCTGCTCCGGCACAGGCTTGTCGACCTCCTCGCCACACGGCGCCATGCCACTGCCGTCGTAGGTGCTCAGGCTCTCCAGCTTAATGGTCGTCTGCTTGATCGAGCCGGGCGAGTAGGGGAACGTCTCCTTGTCGGCGCCGCCCGCCGGTGAATGTTCATACAGCTTACCCAGTCCGTCGAACTTGCCTGGCTCGTCGTACGCCTTGTGCACGGCAAGGCCGTCCGTGTCGTACGGCTTGTGAATGCTCTCCGTGTCGTACGCCTTGTGCATGCCGTCCGTGTCGTACGCCTTGTGCATGCCATCCGTGTCGTAGCTCTTGTGCACGGGGATGCCGTCCGTGTCGTACGGCTTGTGCTGCATGCCGTCCGTGTCGTACGCCTTGTGGAGACCGTCGGCGTCGTAACTCTTGTGCACTGGCAGCCCGTCTGTGTCGTACGGCTTGTGCTGCATGCCGTCCACGTCGTACCCCTTGTGTACGGGCAGGCCGTCCGTGTCGTACGGCTTGTGCGTCGCCTCGTGCGCGCCTGGCTCGAACTTGGGCGGCAGTGGCGGCGAGGCGGCCACGCCGCCGGCCGGCGAGCCCTGGCGCAGGTAACGGCCGCCCTCAGGCCGGTACGCCGCCGCGTCGTACCGGAACTGGCCCACGTCCTCGTCGCGCAGCGCGCCGCGGTCGTCGCCGTGCGGCACGAACTCAGCGCGGCCCGGCAAGAAGCCGTCCTCCGGGCCAGGCCAGGCCACCGGCCGCGCGAACTCGCCCTCCGCGCGCATGTCGTACCCATCGCCGTACGCGTCGCCGGCCGGCGGCAGGTCGTAGCCGGCCGCCTTGGCCGCGTCGTAGCCGGCCGGGCCGGGCGACTGAGTGGCGTAGTCGGGCTCCGGGGCGCCGGCGTGGCCGTAGCTGGCCGGCGCCGGCGACTGCGTGCCATAGTCCGGCGCCGGCGACTGGGCGCCGTAGCTCGGCTCCGGGGCGCTCTGGTGACCGTAGATGTGCGGGTACTGCGGGTAGGGCAGCGGCGACGGCTCCTCGCTGACGCGGTGCTCGATGATGGTCGGGATCTGGATGGCCTGGGGGCGTAGCTCGCGGCCGTAGTCCATGTACGATGACTTGACATCGCCGAGCGTCGCCGAAGCCGCATCTTGCGTCTCCGCCTTGCTAGTGTCCATCGCAGCGTGTTTTGTTTACGGAGATTTAATAATATTTATCCTGGGTCGGATCGGTTTATAAGCAGTCGCGGCCGTAAAAAAGAATAATCCAAATAGTTTACGGCAATCGCCAGTGCAGAGGCGACGCGGAGACACCGGAGTGTGAGAAGCACTCGCGCGCGCGCGGCCACTTGCGCTCTCGCGCTCCACGAGGGCCACTGCACCGCCGGCACCGCGGGCTTTTCGGAAAACGCCAGCGCCCGGCCCACACGAGAGCGATAATGTTCACGGTGTGTGACATGTCATAGATCGGCTGACGGTCGGCCAGGCCACGCCCCCGCCGGCCGCGCATGCGCAGTACGCCGCGGGTTGCGGCGGCGCCAGCGCGGGCGGCGCCGGCCTCGCAGCGCCAATAGGCGGAAAGGCGGCCGGCGGTGGTAGGCACAAAGATCACTTTGTGCCCGGAAAAAAACGAGCGCCGCCCAGCTTTGGGGTGGGGGCCTGGTGGCGCCAACAAAGGTGCCGATCGTCCAGAAACGAGCCCGTTTATATGGCAGCCGGGTTTAATGAGCCCGTGATGGTTTCTGTTGCGGCTGTTTGGGAGACTGCGCGTCCGCAAAAAGCCTTGTGTATTTACACGGGTGCAACACTTTTAAACAAATTTCACCTGGGCAGTCACGAAAGCAGCGGCGTTGGCGCTAATCGCAGCGCGCCGAATGCCGTAGAATTCCGATATTTAGAGACCAGGGACCGGTGAGATTATCTTTGGGCTAGAAACATTGTAAACAGCATTACTGCGCTTCGTCTTGAAAGAACAGCTGCTCCAGTTTGCCTGCTGCAGGGTAATTTGGCGACAAAACAGTGCATTTGTTCCGAAAAAGCTGACGAGTTTTTGCTTGAGGCAAGGGGACCAAAAATTAACCATAAACCTTGCAATATAGACCAGTCCGAGCAAAATCTGGCGTGATGCAGGCATGCGAGGCACTCGCACTCGCACATGCAGGTAGGTACCCGTGTGAGCTGCGGCAGCCATGCAGCCACGCAGGCGCGCCGCCATCCGGGTCAGCTGTGCCCGCGCACAGACAATGGCTGCCAACTGATGGGATGAAGCGATTGCCTGGCGCAGGGCTGTTCCAAGTCGCAGATGTCGTCTGGGAGGGGGGGGGGGGGTAATGAGAAGTGGGGAGTTTTCGTGCGGCGGCAGGGGGGGGGGGGGGGACTGGTATGTGAGGAAGGGCTGGGCCACATTCATGCTGAGCAATCGAGTCACGTGGATTGCAGGACTGTGAACCAGCCGTTGAGCGAAGGCAAACGGTGATGTGCCTCGGATTAAAAAAAACAGCATACAGCGACGTGGTACAGTTCTCTGGCAGTTCGCGGGTAAAACCTGTTGTACATTTGCACCTGCATCCCATGTTCGCTCGCATTTGGTAACAAACAGGTCTGGTGTGTCTACAAAGCACTATCGAATGACAGTACAGGTCTTGGTGATCTGCGTTGCTTCTTATGCATACATTCGTAAGACATTGCATTTGCAGTATGTTACAGTTGCAGCTCACTGCAACATCCTGAAAGCAACGAAGGGTTTTAAAACAGAAACGCGTGTTTTTGTCCGGCCTTGGCGTCTACGCCGACCGCTCGGTGACCGCGGACACATTGGAACAAGTCCATCCTTTCAGTCTGAAGTGTGTGTCCTTTCAACACAAGCACCCACACGCATGAACAGAGTTCCGTTCTCAAAATGGAAATGGGGTAGCTGTCGACATCCGACCAACACCAAGACAGCGTGAATGTCGAGGTTTTATCGCAAGACTTTTCAAGAATGCGGCCTACCGAGTGTTGGAGCGCTCGGGAGAAACGTCGTCTGGAAGCCGGATGTAGCCCACGGAGCGCGCAGATGAGGCACACGGATCATCCATAGGCATTGATCATCCATAGGCATCATCCATAGGCATTGATCATCCATAGGCATCATCCATAGGCATTGATCGCATGCGTCATCCGAAGCGGCTGAACTTGTTCCGTGATTTTGCATTTGATAGATGTCCTGTCGACATCCGACATCAAAATCCAGCATCGACAAAATCCGACATCCTTCCTATGTCGGATTTTTATCCCATGTTTAGAGCCATGACATCCTCGGTGATCTTCACTCCAGCAGACATTCACCTCATCGGCCGCCCCTCGGGTCCGTCTCATACCATTATTCTTTTAAGTACGGTTTTTAGCTTTTCCTGTTCGGCTGAGCCGCTCACAAAAAACATGGCATTCAGTTGTCCACTTTCGCATGCTGCTTGGTTAATATGTGCCATTTTTAGCTACGCCAATATCGCAGACTTTTTGCTCCAGTAAAAATGTAACTTGTCTAAAAACTTGTCTAAAACTAAACTTGTCTCCTCGGTTAGGAGAATAGCTTTCCTTTCAGTTGGGGGAGGGCTTGAACCTCCACCGAACTTTGCCTCGGGCCTCTCAACTTCGAAAAGAGCGCGTGTTAAATCCTGGGAGAAATCCGATTTTGTGTGCATTTTGTGTGTAGGTCTAGCCACTTTCTCCGCTGATGCCTCCAGCCGCGATGTTTTCTTGAAAACTACATTCTTCCCCTGGATATAAACAAGCCCATTTTAAGAAAAATTCTCACAGATGATTATTATGACATATGAAACTCCGCTGTTTTGCCTTGTTTTCACCTGATTTACAGCGGTTTGTTGCCGTATCGATGAACACAAAGTAGATGAGAGGCGGTTCCTAGACTACGCATTTTATGCGTAGTCTATGCATGCTATGCATTTTGGCCATGGCACCAGCACCGGTTAAGCACTAGTTACGCTGGTCGAAAACACCCTGTTGGCTACGTTGCGGTTGCGCGTGGTTACGCTGCGTCAAGAGTAACGCTCATAAAAAGTAAAGTCCGTTTGACCCCTTACTGAGCTAGAGGTGTTAAACAATGGTTGGGCGTGCTGCTTGTCATGAGAGGAAGCCAACAGTATATGAATTAAATCCTTAAAAACTTCAAAAACAGGTTTTAGGCACCGTAGCGTACTGTCATGCTGCCCAAACCTCCCATTCCCATTGTTACACTTCAGTTACGCTCAATTAAAACCTCTTCTCCCTGAGTGTAAATTGACCATTGCAGCCGGTACGCACGAAAACCCACAGTCAGCATCATGATCCTCCTCTCCGCTTCATGCGTTGGATACTTCTACCTGCCGTAACTTCGTTCTTTCTATGGGCTGAAGACAGCGAGTGCTTTGATATCGAGGAAGGCATATTGTGGGAGCTGACATTCATTTCATAACGCTCTCACACGTTATGTCCGTACGTGATATAAGATACAAGAAAGATGCAACGCACGCGTGATGTGCGAAGGAAGCAAATGCTTCCAGACTTTTGCAATCACCGCGTATTTCCCCTGTACAGTTCGGGGCGGCAGCCACACTCTGTCCGTGCAGCCGCTCCCCCTACCCTTACGATCAGCCACCTTATCTTTGGAGTGGTCTCGTCCTACAAGCCTTACCCTATCCAAAAGGACTGCTAAAAAGCCTGTCGGTTCCGCTCCCGTGACCGCTGCGGCCCGCCAGCCCCTGACCTATGACCCGAGGCGCCTCCGGGGACCGGCATCGCCAGGTAGACGCAGCTCTGATTATTTCCCCACCTGTAACTTTTGCCCGGGATTTTGGGCGGCGGCGCGGTCGGCGGCTCCGTGTCCCAACACAAATATACAGTTTGTGTGCGGCGCGGCCGGGCGGGTCGCTGTTTACAGCGGGGGGCGGCGGCGCCACGGGGGACGGGCACGTGCCGTTCTCCCCCCGGCCCCCCGGCCGCCGGGCCTGGACGGGCAGGGACCCGGCGCTGAGCCCGTCCGGTCTCCCCGCTCCGCCGTCGCCGCGCGCGCCGGCCGCGGCGGGGAGCCGCACGGGAGGTGGACCGGCGGAAGTGTTCACGTGCGTCGAGAGTGTTCACGTGCGTCGAGATTCGTCGAAATGGATGGGGAGGGGAGCGGTTCGGATCCATCCTTTGTGCGTGGTGGTGGGTGGTGAGGTTTCTGTGGTCCCGGGACTCACTGCGCATGTGGTACGTGGAACCGATGCCGGGGAAGGGCGGACTGAACCGAGGGTTATGCCTGAACGGACACAAGTGACTCATGGTTTTTTATCATGTGCCAGCTCCATTGAGTATGGAAATGCCTCCGTTGTTCGCTTGAGCCAGGAGCCCGGACGCTGCAAGGGCTAGAATCGTACGTGCAGCAAATTAGAGGATATTTTCCATACATCAGATTAGAGGACATTTTCCATGTGGCACATTAGAGGATATCACCCACGCATCAGACCATTATACAAACGCATATCATCCACATGAAGGGGTCATCCCATGTCTAAACATCATTCATTCATAACCAGCCTTTACCGTCAAGTTTTGCTTAGACAGGTGAAGACCAACGTCTCCACGGGGGTGAGCGCACCAAAATTCCATCTGTGGCTTGTGAACGGGAAGTGAGCCGCAGGGGACACGACTTTTTAATTAAGTCGTGTCTGAGCGCTATTTGCAAGCTTCCTTTGTCCCATATTCTGTATACAAGTATCTATAAGAGCGTTGTGAAGTGAGCTTCCAACATCGACTCGACCCCATTTACATCAAATCGACCAGCGTAAGTTAGCTGGCAAAGAATAAAGTGTAAATGTGCATCGTACGAAATAGCACCAAAAAATTGCCTGGCTGTGTATTTATCAGCCTGTGGCAGCTCTTTTCGTCATACTTCGGTAAATCACTCGCAAGGACAAGACTAAACTGCATCAACAAGCATCGCGTGCCACGGTGTCCTGTATATAAATGAGTGATGAGGGTCTGACCTGACCTGAAGCAGTGGTGACTCAGTGCTCCTAACTCTTGGTCAGCGTCTCTACATAATCGTCTCTCGGATAATGAATGAAAGCAGGAGACTCAACCAATCGTCGCTCTGGTTACAACATGCGCGGAAACATAATTACCCCATTTCCGTAAGACATGCGACCAAACGAACGTTCGAGCAGATAAGTGATGGTTCAGGAAAATGTAACCACATATTCCTCAATCATGATTTCACAATGTCGCATTGTATGCGATTATGAAGCCTTCGTCACTTGTAAATGCTGCGACTGAGTGGAAGCGAACTTGTTTAAAGACCAACACCCACCGTAGTTTGTGGGTAAAGCGGTGCTAATCCGGGCCCGCTCTGACAGAGTGTGGATTTGCCATTACCGGAGCGTCTTTTGGAATATATTCACAATTCGAGGACTTC